TTAAAAAAGAACTTCACTACAGATACAGAAAAATGACTGGAAGAATATGGAATTAAGAGACGATTTTTACCATCATTTTAACATTCTATATTTTCCAAATGCCTTAAAATGACCATGAATACTTTTGTTTAAAGAAAAAAAGGTCTTACAATCTCCTTTTCAAATAATGTGGACCAACCAATGTTCCCCTTCAGGGCATGGACAAGAATGAGACATATGGCTGCTTTCCCCTAACCCTGACACTGGACTCTCTTCCTCTACTACTTCAGAGTGGAATGTATCCCATGAATTAGGCTGGGACATGTGGACATGGTTTAATTGAGGTGGGTAGCTTGTTCAGACTGAAAACAAATTGCTTTAAAACATTACCCTTTACAACAACAGAAGTGCCACTATGGGGTGCATCTTCGAGACTGTTCTCTATAGAGTAGCATTTCAAACTGTTCTGTAACCATGCACAACTTAAAAAACCAAACAGTGACCAAACCACGCAGGCACTAGGATTACAACATGTTAACCTGCTGATACCTATCCTTGCAGTACCATGTCCTCATTCATTTAAATAGTTAGTATCCCATTAAGCTTTTATTTTAACCCTTCTACCTAAGTATAGAAAAACCAATGCCATTAAAAAGTCATTGTCCATCCTCAAAAACTTAAAATGTACACATATGACCCAGCTATTACACTCCCAGGTATCGGTCCTAGAGAAAAATCTGTACACAGGCCGGGTGCGGTGGCTCACGCCTGTAATCCCAGCACTTTGGGAGGCCGAGGTGGGATCACCTGAGGTCAGGAGTTCAAGACCAGTCCAACCAACATGGAGAAACCCCATCTCTACTAAAAATAAGATATTAGCCAGGCATGGTGGTGCATGCCTGTCATCCCAGCTACTCTGGAGGCTGAGGCAGGAGAAATCACTTGAACCCAGGAGGCAGAGGTTGCGCTGAGCTGAGACTGCACCATCCCACTCCAGCCTGGGCAACAAGAACATAACTCCGTTTCAAAAAATAAAATAAAATAAAATCTGTACACAAAAGGCCAGGCACTATGGCTCACACCTGTAATCCCAGCACTTTTGGAGGCCAAGGCAGGTGGATGACTTGAGCGCATGAGTTTAAGCCCAGCCTGGCCAACATGGTGAAACACAGTCTCCACTAAAAATACAAAAATTAGCCGGGCATGGTGGCCAGCACCCGTAATCCCAACTACTTGGGAGGCTGATACAGGAGAATCGCTTGAACCCAGGAGGTGGAGGCTGCAGTAAGCTGAGATTCTGCCACTGCGATCCAGCCTGGGTGACAGAGAGAAGACCCCGTCTTAAAGTACACAAATGTGTTTTAACAACACTATTCACAATTGCCAAAAAGTGAAAACAACCCAAATGTTCACCACTAATGAATGGGTAAACAAAATGCAGCAGAGCCATATAATAAAATGTTCAGTTATAAAAAGGAATAAAGTACTGATTCATGCTACACATCATGAACCTTTTGAAGCCAGTACAATGAGTGAAAAATGCCAGACACAAAATGTTACATATTGTAGAATTCCTGAAATATCCAGAACCGGCAGATGTCTAGAGACAGAGTATATGAGTGGTTTCCAGGGGCTAAGGGGGCAGGAGAGTCGGGAATGACACATAATGAATTTCTTTTGGGGGGTGGAAATGTCCCTAAATTGGTTGCAGTGATGGTTGCAAATCTGTGAATATATTTAAGAACTGATGACTGTATTATATACAATACAAAGTTTATCTCAAAGTTATTATTTTTTAAAAATGTCTGGTAGAATTTTTAAAATAGTATTATGCTCAAATTATAAATGACATTCAATAAACATGAGGAGTGAACACATTAATAATAAAAACTATGCATATTAAAGTCATTATACAAACATCTTTTGGTCTTTCTTTTGTACATAGTAAGGGCTCAGGGACTAACTGTAAAGACAGACTGGCCAATCATGCACACACAAAATCAAAATATTTAAAAATCACATTTTAGAAAGTGATCAGGTTTTTACTGACAACATGAGATACACATTAAGAAATGCTACCTGTGTGTGTATCACGCACTTCATCTCCCTCTTAAAAATACTTTTTGCAGGTGAGGGTTGCACCACGGCGCAAAGCCACTCACCCCACTTCAAACTGTTAAGTAGGAAATGTACAGTAAGTAGTGTGTGGAAACACTGCACGCCAGGCTGCTCCGACTAGTAATAAGCTTACTGCAATTCCAAGGGACCTCGGCGTCATCTTAGTTAAAACTCACATTCCTTTTAAGTCACTACTGAACAATTATGTTCACGGCTAACAACATTTTCAAAGAGGAATTTGGCATTATAGCATGCAAAATTCTTGCAAGCTCAATTATTTCTCCGGTTTATACTCACTGAAAGACCATGTAAGGTGCTATTTCCAGGAATAAGACACAAAAGAAAAAAACAGGCAAAGCCAAGCAAACAAAACCCTGTCCTCATCAAACTTACATTCTGCCTTTTTTTTTTTTTTGAGACGGAGTCACTCTGTCGCCCAGGCTGGAGTGCAATGGCGTGATCTTGGCTCACCAAAACCTCCGCCTCCCGGGTTCAAGGGACTCTCCTGCCTTAGCTCCCAAGTAGCTGGTATTATAGGCGCCTGTCACCACGCCCGGCTAATTTTGTATTTTTAGTAGAGATAGGGTTTCTCCATGTTGGTCAGGCTGGTCTTGAACTCCCGACCTCATGGGATCCACCCGCCTTGCTGCCTCGGCCTCCCACAGTGCTGGAATTACAGGTGTGAGCCACAGCTCCCAGTCCATCTTTTTTTTCTAGGTAACAAGGAAATTCTATCTTTCCAAACTTGTCTCTTATGTATTAAATGTTAGCAACAACAAGGAATTCCCCCACAATTCTCACCTTGCAAATGTACTCTTCTCTAAATACTAAAAATCACAAAGATTTATAAAACATTAGGAGCCGCCTCCAATGACAAGCTTAACTTTCCTTTTAACCGATTTGCCAGGACCATAAAGACAAACATGCTCTACTCTACAAGTTTACTCAAAATCAGAAACCAGAACGTTTTACATTCACAAAATGCAACGGACATTAGGCTGTCAGAAGCAAATTTAACCGCCCAGGGTCTTCAAATCAGAGAGGTGCCAAGTGGTTTTTTGCTTTAAAAACAACAAAATTCAATTTCTCTCTCAAATCTGTAAATCTCAAGTCATTCAATAACCTGAATTGTGAAACAAGAAAATATTGTTACCCTCAGCTCCTAAAGCAAAAGTACAATTTAGTACAAAGATCACAACAACTGGCAAAAAGGCAACTTTTTGAAACAAAGTCTAAATTCCTTTAAACAATTCAATAATTTAGTGGAAATTTTACTAAGTGGCCAGTGAGTTTCTTGCAATTCTTAGCTACTCTGCCCCGCTGTCAACCAGACTAGCGAAACTAGGCATACAGCACCCAAAATAAGCCGCACAATCCTTATAATGCAGTAGCTATCTTCCTATCTTTAATCTGCAGGCAAAGTTCCTTATCTTCAGCAATTCCACTGGGCAAGATACACGGAGGTGGGCTCGACTCCTCCCAGTTAAGACCAACTAAAGCCATTCTAAGACCAGCTTATTCCAGCTTCAGCCAATAGATAACTATGTTTCCTACTAAAGTCAGATGTACGGAGGATAAGAGACAGCAATACATTTTGTTTCAGGTTAGGCTTTGCCTTCTCCATTTGATCAATGGAAACCATGAGTGGTTTATCTTTCCCTGATTGAAGTTTCTGGAGAAAGCAGGTGGTTATCTACAACCCATCAGTGGAAAAATAATCCCCATCCAAAATGAACAGAAAGAAATGTTTTATTAAATTACTGGCGGCCGGGCGAGGTAGCTCACGCCTGTAATCTCAACACTTTGGAAGTCTGAGGCGGACGGATCATCTGAAGTCAGGAGTTCGAGACCAGCCTGACAAACATGGTGAAACCCCGTCTCAACTAAAAATACAAAAATTAGCTGGGCATAGTGGCAGGCGCCTGTAATCCAGGTAATGGGGAGGCTTGAGGCAGGAGAATCTCTTGAACCTGGGAGGCAGAGGTTGCAGTGATCGCGCCACTGCACTACAGCCTGGGTGACAGAGACTCTATTCCCCACCCCCCAAAAAAAGTATTGGCAAGGTCATAAAACCGATTGTGCCACCAAAAACCTTCTTAAAATTGAAAACACACTGATAAATCCTTTTGAATATTGCTTTCTTTACAACTCCTAAAGACTACAAATTCCTTGGAATTTGTAGGAAACTTGACAGTTCCTTTCATTAAAAAAAAAAAACAAAAAAAAAAAACACAACTCCTGACCATTACATTATTAGATCCTTAGAGCCATTGGCTTAGAGGTAAACTGCGACTTGGTTTTTGGAACCACGGGCTGTTACAATCCCGTCGAAGGTAAGCAAAGACATTTCAATTCTCGTGGGGTATAGATTCCAAAGGGTCACTTGCATCCAACACACACACAGAGAAATGAACCCAATGACAAGACCAGAAACCTCACCAAGCTGCACGAAACGTAAAGAAGTAAACAAGCAAATAAAAATCTTAAAAAATCAAGCGTGGTCTTGAGTAAAAGGCAGGTCAGCTACCCAACAGAAGCACATGACTCATGCACGGGCCTGAAGTATTTACACCGTCCACTACACCAGAGGGGGGTTTTCCATCTTCATGAAAGGCCAAGCCCTGGGGGCATCTCAGCCGGTGAAGCCATGCCATTTCCGTTTGGGAGGAAGGGGATCATTTTATTTCGCTGAATCACAACTCCCCTACGTCCCCACCCCAAACCACCACCACAGCCACACACGACACTGGAAATAAACGAGGCCGTTGCAAGGACGCCGGCGAGCACCGACCGAGCAAAACAAAGCGCCCAGCAAGGGGCTACCAGGCTGCGAGTGGGTGCGTCAGGAGGGCCAAGCTCACCCCCCCAGGGCACCGCTCCCGCCCTCTGGGGCCTGTCCTCAGACCGGCGTGAAGCGGCTATCACCTCCTTCCGGAGGGAACCTTCCCCTTTCTCCACAGGGCTCCCGGGACCACCGGGAAGGTAAGGTGATGGGGGCGGGGGCGAGCTGCCCCGGCCCAGGCAAAAGGACCTGAGTGCCAGAGTGAGAGTGCGCCGGGCCCAGCCCACGTGAGCGCCGGGGCCAGGCCCGCGCCAGCCTAAGGGACCGCAGACGGAGACAGCGGCGCTCGCGGACCCCGCGCCAGGCCCGGACTTACCCGGGCCGGGCGCGCCGCAAACCCCGCGGCGGCCGCTTCCTCCGCTTCCTCCTCCTCCTCCTCCTCCTCACTTGACAAAATGGCGGCGGCAGGAAGTGCCGGGCGCCTCGGCCCGCCCCCCGCCCGCCCCCGGCCGCCCGCCCCGCCGCGGCGCCCGCGCCCCCAGCCCGCGCCCCACCGACCGGCCCGAGGTCAGGTCCGACGGCACCAACGGCGAGGCGGCCACGAGCGACCCCGCCGCCCCGAAGCAAACGACGCAGGCCGTCCTGGCCCGGCGCGAGCAGCGCGGGAGGCCAGCAGGCCCGAGCCCGCGTAGCCCCGGCCTCCCCGCCCCCGCGCCGCGCCGATGGCGTAGGTGGCGGCGCACCGGCCCCATTACGCAATGCAGGTTACGCGGGCCGCGCCGCGAGCCCCCGCCGGCCGCCCAGCGCCGTCCGCCGCCCCGAACGGCACCGGTCCTCACCTGAGACGCTAGGCCGCACGCCACCCCCGCCGGCCGTCAGCCCGCTGCCGTCGCCCGCTCCCCGGGCTGCCTGCGCGGCGCCGGGGCCCGCCCGCCGCTCCCCCGATCTCACAGGCCGCGCTCGCCCGCGGGCACCGCCGGCAGCCGCCGCCGCCGCTGCCGCCGCCACTGCTTCGGCTCTTCGGCTGCGGGAGAACAGAACAAACAGCCCTGCTGCCGCCGCCGCCGCCGCCGCCGCCGCCAGCGCACTGACGTCACCGCGCACGCTGCGCGCGCGGCCCCGCACCACTGCCGCCTCCCGGTGTGCGCGCTCCGCCCCCGTGCCCGGCGCGAACAAGCTCCGAAAAGACCGTGGTTGCGAGGTGAGTGGGGGACGCCGCGGACTGAAGGAGGGGACCCCCATTCTGAACGATGGAGGGGGCTGGGGGAAACGCGCGGACTGCAGACTGGGCCCGTGGGGAAAGATCTGAAGGCTGAGAGAGACCTCCAAAATACTGAGAAATGTCTGAAGACAGACCCTCACAGGGAGGGAGGACGGTGAGGAGGAACCCCAAAGACTGATAGTGGAGGCGGAGGACAGAGCCCTGTCTGAGGGAGGACTCCAGGTGGGGAGGCTGAGACGAGAGGGCCGCGATGGGGGCGCCGGGGCTGGGATGAAATGGAGGAAAGGAGAAGAGAGAAGGCTGCAAGCAAGGTCAAGACTGCCCCTGGGATCTAAAGGTGCAGGGAGGTAGCACCTTTGCTCTTTTATGTCCCCCTGCCGACCTTCTTCCTACCCACCCGTTTTCTTTTTTAAAGAGACATGGTCTTACTCTGTCCTCCAGGCTGGAGTGCAGTGGTACAAAGTTCACTGCAGCCTCAACCTGCTGGCCTCAAGCGATCCTCCTGTTTCAGCTTCCCAGGTAGCTGAGACTACAGGTGTGCACCACCACACCCAGCTAACTATTTTTTGTAAAGACGGGTCTCACTATGTTGCGCAGGCTGCTCTCTGTCTTGTGGGCTCAAGTGATCCTTCTGCCTCGGCTTCCCAAAGTGCTAGGATTACAGGCATGAGCCACCACACCCTGCTCTTCCCATCCTTAAGACTCAACCCTGTAATCCCAGGCACGGTGGCTCAGGCCTGTTATCCTAGCGTTTGAGAGGCCTTGGCAGGCAGATGGCTTGAGGCCAGGGGTTGGAGACCATCCTGGCCAACATAGTGAACCTCGCCTCTACTAAAAATACGAAAATTAGCCTGGTGTGGCGGTGCATGCCTGTACTCCCAGCTACTCAGGAGGCTGAGGCAGGAGAATCACTTTAACCTAGGAGGCGGAGGTTGTGCAGTG